ACCCGACCCTCTCCCGATCTTGCTAAGCATCGTTGCCCAGACTCTACTAATGAGTGAATAGGGGGGAATTATAGTCTGTCGCAGGAAGAGCCACAACATTGAGGAACACTGGTCTAGATGAACAACAACTAGATTTTGGGTTTTTTTCATGGACTCTCCATGAAAACATAGTCTGTGCCCCCAGGGAAGTCTGTCCCCAGCTGTCATTCTCCCTTTCTTGTCTCTGCCTTCATTTTATCTGCATCCCAATTCGGTGAAGTGAATTCAGCTCAAACAGAGGGAGAGAAAGAGATGGAGGATGTGCTTGACAGAGCCGTGGTTTGAACTGAAATTGCCTTAGCCAAACTCCACCCAGTATAGCATATAGTCTCCCATTTTTCCTTCTGTTTGGTGTTTATTCCTGTTCCTCGGTGAAAGGCCCTTCAATAAGAACGTGACTTTGGCTTCTTTCAATAACTCTCACTCTGCACCCCAGTGCAATAGGCCCTCGTGGGCAACCTCAACAATCCCATTGAGATTCATAACCCTGTTAAATACAGGAGAAATAAAGATTACTCCTATGTGCTTTAATGCCTCTCTTCCACCTTTAACGTTTTTCTTAAGGTCATGGTGGTTTTTAAAAGACAGTTATACAGTTAACTACCCTGCGGTCTTGAAAAGCTGAAGGATTTCTGCCTTTCGTACTTAAAACCCCATTTCTGGTTTTTGAAGTGTTGGTAACAGCTGGAATTGGGGCAGCCCCCCCACCCCCTTCGCCCCAGTTCAGCTTTTCCAAAGAATACAGGCTTGCAGAAAGAGGAAAGCGGGCTTGGCTTCAGCTACAAGCATCTGTAGTAATAATTCAAGGGGTAACAGTAGTAACGCGCCCTTCTTTTGCTCGACATTAATCTCTTCCTTTGGAATATTCAGATCCGCCATACTTCATCCTTCTCTAGAGCCCGTTTCAACCCCCCGGCGCTAAAGGGGTTAAGGAGTCGGAGGGGTTATTCCTAGAGCGGCCTCAGGGTCTGGCTAAGGAACGTTCCTTCCGGTTTGCCCTTCCGCGCGGCGCCCGGGAGGTTTAACGCGAAAAGCGTCTCTCCCCGCGACTTCCAGGTCGCTTAATGCAGCGGGCGGCTGCGCGCGTCGCGTCCATTTCTTTTCACGCCCCAACGTAATGCCCGTTCTCAGGTTTGGGGGCCCGCGCGAGGGTCAGCCGCTCCCGGAATTCACTCGTGCAAACGAGATGGCAAAGCTGCAAGCGTTGGGGCGGACGAGAGCGGGGCGCCGCCGGCCAAGTATTACCTCTTAACCGCGTTGCAAATGCCCTCGCGGCCGGGTTCAGACGACAGGCTTCCCCGTCCTGTATTCCAGCGGGGTTTACTCCATGCAGCCCGTTTCCTGGCTTGGCACGAGGCGCTGAATCCGGTGCAGCCCCGCACGGGCTGGGGTCGCCCGTCTCTCTGGACGGAAATGGGGTTGGCTGGTTTGCGCGTCGTGGGGAGCCAGAGAGCTTGAGGTTTTTGGAAGAGGTAATTGCGAATTAGGAGGGCGCTGGTCGGGAGTGCCGTTTGAGCACCGAGGGCGGAATTTCTCAGATTTAACTCCCTCTCCCTCCATGCTCTTGCCTCAATGAAAGGCATCAGACGCAAACGTTTTGGTTGTGTGATTATTCTTACCTTCATAATATGCTAATAAACAGCTATTTAGTTTAAATCATCTAACTTGGTATTTTCCACTTATGAAGTGTGACAAGCACTAAACCGGGGCCATCCTCTCTTCTATGGTAGAGAAAAACAGCCTGGCCACAAAACCAGGTTCGTGTGCCTGCTGCCTAGAACTGGAACCTTACTGTAAGCCAGTGTTTCTCAACCTTAGGTGCCGACTGGGGGATTCTGGGAGTTGGAGTCCATACATCTTAAAGTTACTAAGACTGAGAAATGCTACAGCATCTAGGTAAGCAAAGCAAGGCAGCTAATGGGGATGAAGGGATGAAGGAATGAATGGTCTTCAGACAATGTGACTTTGACATGAGTTGGAAAGTTAGTTCTAGCAGAATCTAGCAACTTTCTGCAGAGCAGGCAGAACCCCTGATGTATATTACAGTTACGGAAATGGGTGGGGACTTTGCGACCTGAGTTCAGCCACATAACACCCCCGCCCCCTTTTGAGTCAGACTTGACTTCTGGTAACTACGTGGCCCATGTTCAAGCAGTTTTCTGGACAGCGTGTTCAGAAGGGATTTGCCCTTGCCGCCTTCCTCGGGCTGGGAGCGAGTGGCTGGCCCAAAGATACCCAGCTGGTTTTTCTGCCTAAGGCAGGACTAGAACTCAAAATTCCGCACTCCTAGTCCATCACCTTAACCACTAGATCAAACTGGCTTCCTAACTGCCTTTCTACAATCCCAAAATTCACATGCTGCTGAATGTGATCACTGAAGATCAGTGGAGCAATTTTCTGCCACATTGTGGTAGAAGCATAAACATAAGATAGGCCCTAGACATCTATCGATGTGGTCGCTAGGAGTCGAAAACAATTTGATGGCACATAATCAGTCAGGCCCTAGAACACTGCCCTAGACAATCAAATCAAGGCAAATGCTTGAATTGACCTTATCACAACCCCCAACATCACCCACCCCATGCGTATGGTGGAACCTGCTCATTTTGCATTATCCTCGGCCCCACCAAAATATCCTGTGTCCACCACTTGACACCCTCCCTTCATGAGAGATCTCCAGATGTCTTACTGCAATTGTAATTTTTATCTGTTTTTGTGCCCTGCACAGCAAAAGGGAATCCTGTTGTCTCACATAAAAGCAGTTGAAAGTTCCTGATATTTTGCTGCATTTGTTCCAAGACGTTTTGTGGAATGAATCCTTTATGGTGCTGATACTTGAAGGATCTAACAAGAGTTCTGCAACATCCCTTGAGGATCGATGCTGAAAAAGAGAAAGGAAAAATGCAATAAAGCTAGTTTCTGTGGAGGAAATGGCCGTCACACATAAAGCAGAGGCAACCAAGTCTCTCCTAAAAGAAAATGTGGATCCAGAAGTAAAAATGGAAGTACAGTGTTCTTCAGGCCTTCAACCAGGGGAAGGAAGGAAAAGAGAAGACCTCCCAGAAACTGGGAAGATTAAGCAGGAGTTTATCCATCACGTGAAACAAGAGCCGGATGAAGGTCCCTCGAGAAACTGGGATGCCCAGCTGCAAGAGTTTCTGAAGACGCTGCAGGCTCCCGATTCTGGTGGAGAAAGCCCCCCCCTGGCTTGGGCTGACCCTAAAGCAACCCAGGTGCTCTCTCAGAGGATGAGGGACGCCAGCAACTGTCCCAGAGGAGTTTGGCTTGCCCAGGCCCAGCCGCCCCTGGCGGCGGAAGCCCAGCGGGACTATGAGAGTTCTCGGGAGGCCGCATGCAGCAGGAAGGGGCAGAAGGGAGCTGTAAGCGGGCCGGGGGCCAGGCTGGAGAAGCAGCGCCAGCATTTCCGGCAGTTGTGCTACCAGGAGGCCGAGGGGCCTCGCGAGCTCTGCAGGCATCTCCAAGAACTTTGCCACGAGTGGCTGAAGCCGGAAAAGCACACCAAGGACCAGATCCTGGATTTGGTGACGCTGGAGCAGTTCCTGGCCGTCCTGCCTTCGGATATGCAGAGCTGGCTGAGAGAAAACGCTCCGAGGACCTGCGCCCAGGCCGTGTCCCTCGCAGAGGACTTCCTTGTGGGGCAGCAGGAGGTCAAAGGCTGGAGCAAGCAGGTGAGTCCGTTTGGAAAGTGGCGACCTTGGCCGACCGTGGGGTGTGTGATGCCCCAGATCCCCCGTGTGGTGAGATGCCCTGCAGGCTTAGCAAAGTTATTGGCTCATCTCTTGGGGCCGGCAAGCTCTACTTCTCTGGAGCAAGAATGGCAAGAATGCTTTGGGGAGATCTGATGATGCAGAGGAGTTGTCAGGAAGCGTTCCTCTGCAAATGGATTTGGGTTGGGAGGTGGGCCTTGCAAGGTTATTAAAGCATAGAACAAACTTATGTTTGCCAGACATACAAATCCATAGTATCAGTGCGCCCAATCCTTGCTGAGATTGTGATGAAGGCAGAGAGTCTTCATCATAATCCACAATATGTCTCATCCTTGATTTCCCATATACTCTGAACCTGAACATATGGCTCGTTTATGATTAGGTGGCTATTATAATTATGTGGCTCTTGGTCCTCCAGATAAGCAAGTAAGGTACAGGAGTGGTCACAAAATGGAACTGTTGGACTTCTGTTTTTCATCCTGTAGTCTTGGGAGGAGGGGTGCTTTTTTTTTCAAGTGGTAGATAAGTGACTATGCGCTGATTGTTTGATTTGTTAGCATAGGTAACAAACAAAAATAAAAAATTGACCAGAAAGTAACTGGAATATTAGCCAGGCAGCAGTGAAGAGCAAACACTTCAGGGGACATGGACATATACCCCTGGTTAATGATAAACGTTTCTTTCATCGCAGTACTGACATGCTCCAAGTTAGAGCTGAATTTAGAAACTGGACTATAGTGTGGCTGTCCTTATCGATGGGACTCTGGCTCAGCAGCCTCTGATTTTTGTGTATATGGCAGGGGTGCTTCCAGACTACCTCTCAGTTGCTGACTTTCCTAAATTAATTCTATATGCAAGAAAGGGAGGTAATTGGGAAACTGCCTTAGATCCTGGAAGTATTCTAGGAAAAAAATCATAAATCTGTTTGAGAGCCTTTCCTGGATGTATCTGCAAGTGATTTCAGCTGCCTATTTTTTAAAAATTGACCATATCGGTCTGATTTGATTTGGAGTTAGAGGTTGGATTCAGACATTGCACTAAGCCCTAATTCATGGAATAAAGACTGCAAAACAGGCTAAACTAAAATGGAACAAACAACCTCACACCTGTGAAAGGTATGGATCTAACCAGGCTTCTCTCTTGCAGTTCTCAAATGTCCAAGTTGAAATTCCTGCTGTGTCCTCTCCCTGGAAGAAGCTGCAAAGAGCATATTTTATCCTGAATTTTGTGTTTAGTCCTTTCAACCAGTGTTTCTCAACCTTGGCAACGCAAGATGGGTGGACTTAAATTCCTGGCATTCCCCAGCTACCATGCTGGCCAGGGAACTCTGGGAGTTGAAGTCCACACACCTTAAAGTCGCCAAGATTGACCAACACTGTTTTAAACTGCTCCAAAATACCTTTCAGTTGTAAATCCATGGAATAGGTTAATCCCCCTTATGCCCTGTTGTCTCAACGTCTGCTTCTCCTTTGCTGCTCCAGATGATGGGGATGATGGAGGGGGAATCTGAAAAGCCCCCCAGAAGCGTTCCTCTGCAAATGGATTTGGGTTGGGAGGTGGGCCTTGCAAAATCATTAAAGCATAGATCGATAAGGCTAGTCTAAAGATGTGATGGATTTAAAGCTGGACTATACATAGATCAGAATCATGCAAGCCATAGTATTCCCTGTGATACTCTATGGAAGCAAAAGTTGGACTTTGAAGAAGCAGGATAGGAGGAGTCTTGATATTTTTGATCTTTGGTGCTGGAGGAACCCTCCTTGCAACACGCACACATACACACACACCTTTTGGAAATGGAATATCACCAGCAATTTCTCCTGGGATGCACAGATTAGGTGAGTTAATTCCAGTCAGAGAAGGCTGTCCTTGCATCTTCAAATCAAGTAGTGCTTTTTAAAGGATGACCAGGACCTTGGATTTTACCCAGAAGCTAATTGGAAGTCAGTGCAGAGCCTGAAACACAGATTCATCAGATGCTCCTGATTCCAGCCACTAATTAACCAGTCCACGCATTCTGGACTACTTGAAACTTCCATGCGCTCTTCAAAGGCAGCTCCATGAGGAACCCATTGTAGCAGCCCAAACAAGTGGTCATGTGGGCATGAGTTACAGTTATGAGGTCTTCCTGGTCTAATTATTGTCATAACTGGTGCACCAAGATTTTGGCAAAGGTCCTCTTGGCCATAACCTCTATCTGCCCATCAAGCTGTAACAGCAAATCCAGTAGGATTTCCTGAAGTACCTCCAACCTCCAACCCCCAACCCTCACAGGTAATCTAGATGGAAACCATTGTTCTTAGTATTGAAAGCAGCTAAGAAGTCTACAAGCTAATCTCCCTTATGCCCCACTTTTATTTAATTGATTTATTGATTATTAGATTCTTGTCCGAACTTTATTTTTGGTCATCTCAAAACAGCATCCATAGCTAATGTTCCTGCCTTCTATTTTCCCCACCTTGACCACCTTGTGAAGTGGGTTGGCTAAGAGAGAGGGGCTGGCCCAAAGTCACCCAGCTGGCTTTCATGTCCAAAGGAGGACTAAAACTTATGGTCTCCTGGTTTCTAGCCCAGCATCTTCCCCATTACATCAAACTGGCTCTTTGACTCAACCTGTGCTTCTCCTTCTCTGCTGCAGATTATGGGAATGTTGGAGGGGAAGTCTGGGCAGTCCCCCAGGGGAAAGCAAGGTCTGTCAGACATGGTGAAGGCACAGCTTTCTAGACAAGCAGAAGAGGAGGCAGATGGGGAAGAAAGCTCATTGGGTAAGCCTCTCTGAGGGTCTGATTGATAAAATGTAGGCTGAGAGAAATTTACTAACAGAAAGTACTTCATAAGCATTGTATCTAAGCGCTAAATTGAATCTCGCCTTGAGTCCTAGCCTGAGATTAGAACCAAGGCCCCAGGCTATAAGAACAGCCTTTCCAGCAAGAAAGATATTTCAACACAAGAGTTGAGCTTGGAAGCTCTTTCTTCCATTGGAAAGGACAGAAGATGGATTCCGATAATTCAGGGCTGAGCAGCCCTGAGCAAAAGCAGAACCACAGCTTTTACACCTTTGGCCTACTACATTGCAAAGACAAGACAAAGACAGACCCAGCGGACATCACAGCATGACGTTGGGATGTTTTTGATAAACTCATCTGGGTGACCTGAATTTGCAGGAAACAATTGTAAATTGTTTTTTGTTTAAGGCAGGAGTGGACAACCAGTGGCTTTGAGATGGCATGCAGTTTAAAAGTCCCCTGATTGTGGCCCCTGTGAATTTACTGGAAGTCCTGAAGGAGGACGTCACAGTTTCCTAACATTCTGAGGTAGAAAACAGATGGATTTTGCAGCATAAGATAGCCAGGAAGCAGATCATAGTTGAAATGCAAACTAGAATCCTTCCCAACAGCTGTATCAACACATGCAATCTGTCTTCAGCCTGTTACAAAATACTAAGGGTGGCTTTGGGCTGCCCCAAAACTGCCCATTCCTGTTTGAAAGTGTGGAGGCGAGTATTTAATTTATTTTTCACAGGCCCTGCCTACTTTGCATTCTGGATCATCCCATAACAGCTTTGTCACCCCTTCCCCCCAAAAATATAAGAAGAAAGGAGTAAGCAAAAATGGATCTCAGATAGTGGAAGATAGGGGAAGAGGTGAAAGAAACAGGAAAGGTCATTGGAAAATAGAGCTAATTTCCTAGAAATATTCTAGAACTGAACTGAAAAATGAGTATGAATGATGAAACATTGTGTTCTTTTTTAATGCAAGGTTTCTTACCTTTAAGATAATCTCTGAGTACTAGCTAGATTGTCTCCTTTTTTTCCTGCAGTCAATGGTTGGCCTGAGCGACAGAGGACATCGCTGAGATCTGCCAGAGGGAATTACTTCCTGGCTCCAGGTAAACCTGACAGGAGCGGACACAGAGCAGAGAAGCAGGACAGAAATGAAAATGAGATGGGAATGGACCGGTTGGTGGGTTCACAAGGGGGTTTCCAAGCGGCTAATGAATCCCCCTTCCTCAACACCGTGGGGAAATATGACCCAGAGGGCCTCAGCCAAAGTTCCCACCTTGTTGCGTGTGACAACACTGACCCGGAGGAGAAACGTTACAAGTGTTGGCATTGCAGCCAGACCTTCAGCAGCAGCTCCGATCTCTTGACCCACGAGAGGACCCACGTGGATGAGAAACTGTATATATGTTCCCACTGTGGAGAAAGAGAGAGGATCCGCGCAGGGCAGTTCTCCCATATCTGCTCCCACTGTGGGAATAATTTTGGCTGGATTCCGCAAGGGGGGCTCAGCGCAGACAAGGAGAAATATTTCATGTGTTCCGAGTGTGGGAAACGCTACAGTCGGCGCTCGGACTGCCTTAAGCACCAGAAAACTCATACTGGGGAGAAACTCTATAAGTGCTCAGCCTGTGGCGAAAACTTTGCGACCTACAGCTCTCTCAAAGTCCACCGGAAGATTCATCGAGGGCAGAACGCTTATAAATGTTTGCACTGTGGGAAATGCTTCATGTGGAGTTCCCGTCTGTTGTTGCACGAACGGATCCACCGGGCCATGTGCTCGTACTGCGGGAAAAGTTTCGGCCGCAAATCAGAACTTTTTGAACACGAGAGAACTCACAACACAGCCGAGTAGCTGTTTGCTTGTTTTGAATGCAGGAACACATCTTCTCAAGCTCGAGGAAGAGATTGTAAACCAGGAGCCCCCACTGTCTTTCTCCAGCTCTTCTCTCTGCCCCATTCTGAAATAATATTCCCTGTACTGTAATGCCTCAGATTGATTTGTTCTGGATTGTGGATGTGTTATTCTTCTACAAAGGTTGTTGGTTCACCTTGCAAATGAAAGAATAGCATATTGATCAGCTTACTGTAGTGTTGTCCAAACTTGGCCACTTTAAGATGAGTGGACTCTGCCTGTGTGCAACTATATAGCAAGTCAGTAAGCCAGTGTTGTCCAAACTTGGCCACTTTAAGATGAGTGGACTCTGCCTGTGTGCAACTATATAGCAAGTCAGTAAGCCAGTGTTGTCCAAACTTGGCCACTTTAAGATGAGTGGACTCTGCCTGTGTGCAACTATATAGCAAGTCAGTAAGCCAGTGTTGTCCAAACTTGGCCACTTTAAGATGAGTGGACTCTGCCTGTGTGCAACTATATAGCAAGTCAGTAAGCCAGTGTTGTCCAAACTTGGCCACTTTAAGATGAGTGGACAACCCTATGGGGAAATTTCCTTCGGGTTACGACCAACTCGGGATACGCCCAGAGTCACGGAACGGATTAAGTTCGTATCCCGAGGTACCACTGTATCTATTTAATTGAAAGATCACAAGTGGCCGTACTGAGAGAGAATACTTTTTTATCTGTTTTCTGACGTCGTCAGACTGACTATTGCTATCCAGAATGTAAGATGGAATGCAACTATGCTGATCTGGCAATAGATAACCCTAACTTTCCATGGGTGAATTCTTTTCTAATTTTGGACAATAAAGCGAAATATATTTGCCCTGAAGCTTCAGGTATTTCATGTTCCCGTGCGCTGGCTGTCCCCTTTTAACAGTGTCATGTTCTTCATAGGGCACTGTAACTCTTGATGTTTTCATTGGAAGGGGTCTGGGGTAGGGTTTGAAAAAGGTCAAGATGATTGCTTCCATCATGCAGTTGTGCCCACCATCTTGACTTTTTTGACATATTCCTCTGCAAACCCCCCTGGAGTTGGATTTGACCTTTTGTGACTCCATGGACAAATGCTTACCATCCTGACATTTCTTTTGGGTTGGCAAAAAGTCCCTTCCGGGTCTGCCACCATTTTCTGGAAACAGCCATTTTGTCATTGGCTAACTTTTCCATGGCAGCCATTTTGCATACAGTAGATCCTCCTTCAGTTTCACAGCATGGCCACCGGCCATATGTGGTGGCCTCGCTCTGGTATATGTGGCCAGTCAAGAATCAGGGAAAGCTGCACATCCCAAGATGTAATTTACAGTGCTATGTTTTGAGGAGGATTACAAAGATTAGTGAGCAGGTTGGTGCTGTTTGGTTGTCTATCAGCTCCCCAGTTAATTTACTTTTTTTAAAAATTGAGATAGGCATTCAGATGGAGGAAGGGGCCTGGCAAGCACCAAGGGAGAAATCCATAAGCATCATGTATAGCCCATTCTTGCTTGAAGCCCTTTGGCATGCTAGCAGTCTTCCAGTCCATGACACGAGTCTACTACTACTCAAAGAGCTGCCATGGGGCAGAGGGTGTGGACTTATTCTCCATGGTCCCCAAGAATAGGACAAGAACCAACAGGTGGAAGCTTTGCAGAGAAAGACCCAAACTTGAACTAAGGAGGAATTTCCTGACAGTGGGAGCCATTAAGCAATGGAACAGCCTGTCTCCTGAAATTGTGGTAGCTCCATCACTGGAGGTTTCCAAGCAAAGGTTGGGCAGATATTTGTCAGGGAGGGTCTGAAGATTCCTGCCTGGAGTAGGGATTGTCTAGAACAGGGTTCCTCAACCTCAGCAACTTTAAGATGGGTGGACGTCAACTCCCAGAATTCCTCAACCAGCATGGGTTAGGGTTAGGGTTAAGGTGCATGGCTGGCTGGGGAATTCTGGGAGTTGAAGTCCACCCAACTTAAAGTGGTGAGGTTGAGGAACCCTGGTCTAGAAGACCTCTAAGATCCCTTCAAACCTTAGGATTCTATGATTACCTGGGTTCTGAAGATGGCACTTATGAACATTCCTGGTTTCATTTGTTATTTTTTTTTTAGAAATTGTTTAAGGGAGAGCC